AAAAAAAAAAAAAAAGAAGCTTGATGAGGTAGGGCCACTGTGAGGAGCATGAGAACTGGACTCACAGAGGGAACAGGAAATGGTAACCATTTCACACTCACTAGAACATGTGTCCATTGAGTAGAGCTTCTGGCAGAACCATCTGTATTATTTTTAATTCCTCTAGGGATATGGGAAGCAAGCACTGTAGCTTCCCCCCGTTTTTAAATTTTATTTATTTTTTTGAGAGTCTCATTTTGTTACCCTTGGTGGAGTGCCATGGTGTCATAGCTTACAGCAACCTCAAACTCCTGGGCTCAAGTCATTCTCTTGCCTCCGCCTCCCAAGAAGGTGGAATTACAGGTGCCTGCCACAACGCCCAGCTATTTTTTAAGAGATGGGGTCTTGTTCTTGCTCAGGATGGTCTCAAACTCCTGAGCTTGGGCAATCTACCCACCTTAGCCTCCCAGAGTGATAAAATTATAGGTGTTGAGTTAGAGTCCAGTCTCCCATTTTTTTTAAACCACTAAAGATGATACAGCTGCCTTTTTAAAACTTTGAATGTATATATAATAGATCATCACTGAAGACCATGCCTATAAAAATTATTATGTTTTTTTTTAGGCAGAATATTACTTTGTCGCACTCAGTAAGGTGCCATGACATCACGACTCATTGCAACTTTAAACTCTTGGGCTTAATCGATTCTCTTGCTTCAGTTTCCCAAGTAGCTGGGACTATAGGTGCCCACCACAATGCCCGACTGTTTTTTAGAGATGCGGGTCTCACTCTGACTCAGGATGGTCTTTTTAACTCTTGTGAGCTCTGGCAATCCACCTATCTCAGCCTCCCAAGTGCTGGGATTACAGGTGTGGGCTACCATGCCCAGCTATAAAAATTATTAAAGGCAACAGTACTCAATTTTTCTGTAGATCTTATATAGTATTTGCTGATTTGGTCTTTAAGCTTTTTGCTCAAAAGTCAATTAAATTTTTTTTTTTAAGTCTCATTTTGTTGCTCTCCATAGAATGCCATGGCATCACAGCTCACAGCAACCTCAAACTCTTGGGCTTAAGTGATTCTCCTGTCTCAGCCTCCCAAGTAACTGGTATTATAGGCACTGCCACAATGCCTGGCTATTTTTAGAGACGAGGTCCCCCTCTGGCTCAGGCTGGTCTTGAAATCATGAGCTCAGACAATCTGCCTACCTCGGCCAGACGAGAATGCTAGGATTACAGGCAAGCATGGGCCACCTCGCCTGGCCCAATTAATATATACATATAATATACATAATTTTTTTGTTTTGCTGGGGCTGGGTTTGAACCTCCCACCTCTGGTATACGGGGCTGGTGCCCTACTCCTTTGAGTCACAGGTGCTGCCCTATATATGTATTTTTTTGTAGAGACAGAGTCTCA